GCCACAATGTGTAGTTTCTATATTTTCCTCTAATTTATTAATTTACTCAAAAGAAGTTCCATGGGAAGATTAATTTGCTGTTGTACTGTCTTTATATTACATTTGTTGGTTCCCTTGAACGTTTGTGATGGTACACCAATATCCTGTGTAGCTGGGTTTTTTTTTGGTAACTGGAGATTATGATTATGATTGAAGTTTACTGTATGTGAAGTTACCTAAGTATGAGTTTGTGCATATTACTATCTCATGCTGTGTCAATGGTAAATAAAAACTAATACTGAAAACCAGAAGTTATTAAACTCTTAGTATTATTTGACAATTTATGCTCACATGCAAAGTGGGGATGACAGCCTTGTGATGAACCACATTCATTGTTCTGTCATCTTTGATGCAAGCAGTGTGCTTTTAAGTGTCCTTTGAAAATTCTAGTCTATAAGGCTGGCTTTAATACTGAGCAGAAGAAGGGGATGTGCAGAACCCCCTGGTTCCCTTCTGGATTTGTTGTGGCAAACTGAAGCAAAACCCACTGATCTACCCCCCAAAAATCTGAAATATAGTGAGAATTGACAATACCATCATACAACAGACATCCACCACTTTCCCCTATTATATGCTTGTAAATTATATGAAACATACACTCAAATATGCAAGGGAAACTGAACTCAGTAACACTGTAAGCTAGTGTGAAGTGTCTGGAATACTGCAGTGAAAGAATCAAGAGAATATCTTGTTGGGTACACGAGAAACTGCAAGTTAAAACACTTGTGACAGTAGCTGGAAACTGCAGAGCTCAGGGAATGTTATGACTACATTTGATGACGTCACGACGTGGTGGTCAGGCCTTCCATATATAGGGGGTGGTGGCTTGGGGCCATGTGACTGCAGGCGTGGTTTCCAAACTTCCAGCCTATCCCCAGTTGTCCCCCAACTAACAAATTGGACACACCTATGTCCACTCCAATTGGCTGATGGCCACAGCTGATTAGACTGAAATTGGACATTATCTGTTCAGACCCAATGAGAGAGACTCTCTCTGTCTCGCTTTTTTGCTGCGCTCTCTCTGCTCTTGTGTTCTGTTCATCTGAAATGCTGTCCTGCCATGCTGTCTGCTGGAGGACAAAGGATTGCTTTGTGCCTTAGAGCACATGAAGGGCAAGGAGGGGATTTTCCTCCTCAAAATCCCTTGGTGATACCTGGATTATCACAATGGACAATCTTGACTTCTTGGAAGTTTCTGAATGTGGTAACTATGAATTATTAACGTTTAGTTAAGGCAAACAGCCCTAGCCTTTCTTGTTTTGAAATCTTACAGTCTAATTGCAATACTCTGAACTGAATAAAAACTTATTCTTGTTTCTAATTTGTCTTTGATGTTGTAACTGGGATCCCAAGCCTATTTCCTGCGCCTACCTGGCCACACGCTACCATTGAGCATTAAGTGTACATCTCTGTGAATGAGGTGCTAATGTGTTAAGCCCTAGATGCCAATTGAGATTTTGAACCTCTAATCTCAGGTTGGGAGGGGGATTATTGTAGAGGTTCTGGTGGCTTATTGTTCTGAAATCCAGAGAGGATAGCCTACCTCTCTGGGTTGTTGTGTAATGTATTGTAAAAGTGGGGGACAGAAGCCTATACACCTACTAACTAGAAGAAACCCTCTTGTATGAGGTATTGGCTGTGGAAATGTTATTTTTCTATTCCATTATAAAGTACTCAGACTAGTTTTTGTGAATTGTACATCAGTGTATTTTCTATCTGCAAATAAAAAGAATTATATTTTTTAAAAAATAAAAGAGCTGCAGCTAATTCATTATTATCCATACTGAGAAACAACAATGCCTAATGGCTAAAAGCTGCATATCTAAACCCTTCTCTTTATTGAATCAGTAAACTGTTGAGTTATTTTTCTGCAATGGAATATTTGAATGTACAATCCCATCTAAAATCTTCTGAAGTGGTACAAGTCTACCAAGGGCTGTGCAGTTTTGCTGATCCTATGGCTTTTGTTAACAGTACAAGAGCAAAAAATATATATACTTCAGTAATGTAAGTACAGTTTTTAACATGAACCTAATTCCAGACACAACTGTTGTTGTCTTGCAACACTAGAAATATAGTTTTAGCAAAAAGAAAAGAAAAGAATGAGTTGGGCTGTTATCTATATTCTTGCCTTTTCCAAAGATGTTCTCCATTCCCTGTGATCATTTAGAACTTCATAATTATTCCGGAGTATGTCCTCCATTTCAAACTGCATCCCAACCAGCTCCCCATGAGCAACTCTTCGATCCTCATCATTCAGACCACACAGACATAACTAGAAAGGATGGGAGACCTTGAGAATCTTGAATTCAACTAGAAAATTCAACTAGAAAAGATTTATATAAGAGGTTGGTAATAGTATAGGAAAATGAAG